TGGTACAGAGTGTACTGAGTGGAACTCAGATGGATTTTGGGATGGTGATACATCTTTTTGAAAGGTGTTCAGAAAAGTCTTAATCAATGTCTCATTTTTCTTCCAAAAGAACAGGGACATTGAAATCCTTCCGCTGACCTTTCTGCTGGCCTCCAAGGTAGAATCATTTGTCAATCATTTCAAAGCCTTCCTATTTTTACCTTGATTAAAATATTTCTCCAAACTCCAACATAGAGAGCATGCTGGAAACAAGAAAAGTTACAAAGTATTTCCCTGAAGAGAGGTGTGTATGTGTTCATGTGTGCCTGTATGGGTCTAGGTATGTATATGCCTCCCTTTCTGTGTTTACATGCATGTGTGCTTGTTATGTTGGACATGGATGCAGTTGTATTCTTGCTGATTGTGGGTAAATAAAGATGAGCCTCATGGGGCAACTTGACCAAAGCAGCTTTCAGTTTTGGATCTAGTTCATAGCCCTTTCTTAGATTTATTTTTTTTTTTTTTGAGACAGGGTTTCTCTGTGGCTTTTGTAGCCTGTCCTGGAACTAGCTTTTGTAGACCAGGCTGGCCTCAAACTCACACAGATCCGCCTGCCTCTGCCTTCAAGTGCTGGGATGTCTTTTACTACCTCCCAGTAATGCTATCCCGTTATGAATCCATTAAGTGATTACTCTATTGATTAAGTCAGAGCCCTCATGATTTAATCGTCTCTGAAAATGCCATTATAAGCACCTAGAGGTGTGATTCGCTAATCCCCCAAGGCCTCTATTAATCCAATCACTTGACAATCAAGATTAAGCATGGCCAGTCTACAGACCCCACTTCTACATGGGAACAAAAGAATTTCAAGGCATGCTCTTAAAACTCTATATAGACAATGTGACTCAAGGGCCTTGATTTGGTCTGTCTGGCTGTGTGATCTGTGACCTGTGGAACAACTCAATTTGGTGGACATATTTGGAGGCTGCTATCATAATCCTCTGGATGACTTTGGAATTTTTCAAATCTAGTTGCCGAACAAAGAAATCCGAAGTATCCTTTGAAACGACCTCTTGGAGGAGAGGCCCTGAGCCTCCAGCCATGAGTGCAATGTCAGGTACATGCATGAGGTCATCTTGGACCATCCAGCCCGCTCAGGCTTCAGATGACAATAGCTGAAAGAATGTGCTAGAGCCACAGTCCTTGGATTTGAGTCTTTACTGTGAATTGGCTGCACTGCCCCCATGATAACCGTCAGCTTTTCTATTGCTCGTCTGTCTGAGATGAAGACATAGCGTACAGTTAGCTGATCTGTTGAATGGGCATACATCTGCTTTATAGGGCTGTGATAAAAACCAATGAGGTGCTACATATGAAGTGTTTGGAACAGCATCTGACACATAGTCAATGTTCAGCAACGCTAGTCGCCATTACCCGGCTCCCATAGACACCCCCAAACCTATATTTGACTGGACCCTAATTTGATAACTTCCTAGCCAGCTGATGGATGCGAACTAGCCAGACCTTCTAACCACTTCCTTTCTCTGAAAACCTGAATAGCCCAGAGCTGAGCAAAGAGAGAAGAGAGGGAGTAAGAGGTTTTGTGGTTTGTACGTGTATATTCTGTGGAGAGGCACAGGATAAATCAGGCCTGCAGGTGGGTAGCAAGAAAGGCACTGAGTATATATGACATGTCAGAGAGGTGACGCTGTTAACAGGGTTAGAATGTGGGAGAGGGAGAGAAGGGGTGGAGCTCCAGGAGGTGTATTTAGCCTGGGCTCATCCCAGCCAGTTCTTCACTTCTAAAGGTAACAAACAGCATACTCTAGTTCAACACATATGCATTTCTTCTAGGTGCAGCCTGTCTCATAAGTGTCTTGCGTCTCCATTTCATTTTTCCTACTATTTTACACATGAAAGGCATTCCAGTAAGTCCCCATATGAACAAATACTTTTCAGGTCAGGTTTGTAGTATCTCTTTTATCATCTAAGGCAAATCACAAGGAAAAGCCCACAGTTAGTAGGCAGGTGGGCTATCCAAGCCAGTGGACAACAGGAATTTAATTTGTTGAGTGTAGTTGAACTTTCTTTGGGACTGCCAGCTCCCCAGTGATAATACAGAGACTTATTATTAATTATGAAAGCTTGGCCTTTAACTTAGGCTTGCCCCACTAGCTCCATAACTTAAATTAACCTGCTTCTACTAATCTACGTTCTGCCACACTTTTTTTTACCTCTCTTCCTTTCTGTATGTCCAACTCTCTTCCTGTGTCTTGCTCGCATATTACATGTAAGCCTAGATTCTTCCCAAGTTCCTCTTTTTCCCGGGAAGTCCCACCTAACCTCTCTTGCCTAGCTATTGGTTATTCAGCTCTTTACCAAACCAATCAGGCGCCCTAGGCAGGCAAGGTAAAACAGTGACCCATACTGTTTGCTCAAATATCCTGCAGCAGTTGGGAATGACTATTGACAATATACTACTTAAATTTTAAAGAAAAGGTTTTTTTTTTTTTTATGTAGTTCAGGCTGGACTTGAACTTACTATGTAGTTAAGGCTGGCCTAGAACTCCTTGATCCTCCTCCCTCTGCCTTCTAAGTGCTGAGATTACAAGTGTGCCCCACCAGTCCCAGCTTAATAATGTACTATTAATATGTTTAGGAAATGGCTGATTAGTGCATCAGGCAGGGTTCTGCAGAGAAACATAATCTATAGTGTGTGTGTGTGTGTGTGCACATGCATGCGCGCTTTCAGTCCATCAATGACCATCTGCATGCTAGAGAGGCTGAGAACACAAAAGCCACTCAGTATTGTGAGGATGAGTGGTCACAGATCAGCACTGGAAGAACCAGGAATGTTAATCACACAGCGTTGTCTCCTCAATGGAGGAAATGGATACATTTTCCTCCCAGAAGGCTGGCAGTGGATTTTTTTTTTTGTTTTTCGGATAGGGTTTCTCTGTAGCTTTGGAGCCTGTTCTGGAACTAGCTCTTGTAGACCAGGCTGGCCTTGAACTCTCAGAGACCGGCCTGCCTCCCGAGTGCTGGGATTAAGGGTGTGCGCCACTGTGGCCTGGCTAGGCAGGCAGTGGATGTTGTTAATGACCTGGTGACCTTTGCTATCTGTAAGCGCCAGGCCTCACCTACATCTCCCAGAATGCTTGTCCCAGGCTCTTCCTCCCCAGACCTTTAGCTTTGTTTCTCAGTCAGTAGAACCCATGTTTACCTCTATGCTATCTCAGTTAGAGACTTGACCAGATCCTAGGCCCTTAAACTCTACATCCCAGCTTCATGGTAGAGGTCACATGGTACACTGCCAAAGACATTCGATGAGGTACATCTTACCCTTTATTGTGCACATGGGATTGGGACAGTTGTTACCAGGAAACTTTCTTCAAGAGTTATACTGTACTTAACTATGTCTAAGATAAACTAGCCTGGTGTCAGACTCCAGACTAAGTCATGCTGAACCCAGTTCCCTCCTTGTCTCTGGTGGTGTGTTCCTCTGCTGGCTGTAGAGCTAGCAGGGACTCCTACACAGTACAGGAAGCACAGTCCAAACCCGGTGCCGAGGACCTGGGAGATTCCTGGAGGGTTTCTGGTCTGCATTCCAGATCGGAAGGTTGAAGAAGCGTCAGTAACAAAGATGGACATGTTCACCAGTAAGATTCAAAGGCAGGCAAACAAGCGGCACTGACTTCCCAAAGTCTTCTTCCTCTCTGGTCACCTGGCAGAAGGTGCTACCCAATCTAGCCAAGGGTCTTTCCCCCTCAGCTTGGACACATCAATTTTAACTAAAGCGTTTATGAAAATACAACTGATTGGGCCCTCTGACATACTTTAGATCACCTCTCAATTATTTGCAGTAACCAAGGAAGTCTAAGTACATGAAATAGTTATTACTCTGATATATTAAGGGAATAATCACAAGAAAAAAAAAAGACATGTGCTCCAGGCAGGTGCACATTTTTTCCAAATACTTTGGATCTGAGGCTGATTTCATCTGCAGATTCAGAACCATAGTTAGAGAGGGCTGACAGTACCGTCTTACCCGCTTATAGCATATTTACGAGACACAAGGTCTGAGCTGGCAGCAGCCGTGGTTACGATAAAGATGGGGATTTGGAGCTTGATTACACTTGAGTAGATTTATCGTCTAAGCAGATTTATTTTCTAAGATAGGGTGCCTAAGTGTCCTTAGATAGGTTCAGATAAAGCTGTGATCTTCCCCCTTACAAAGAAGGGAAAGCTTCATGGAGTAGGGGACACCTGACCCAGGCCTCGGAGATATCTAGGGTCTGGAGACGAAGGACCACGGAATTTTCTCTTCTGCGTGGCACACAGAAAGACGTAAATCACTAGAGACCACTCACATAAGGTTTTACTACATGTTTGCCTCTGGCTCCAGAATTAGCAATCTGCAAGTAAGCGGCTGTCATCAGGCTAGGGAAAAGGTGTTTTCCTCCCTAAACCTTGAAGTCTCAGTCTCAAACCCATCCGCCTCTTCTAGGGACGGGTAGAACCGGCCCAGCTCTCCCCAGGGAGCGGCCAGAGCGGGCGTTTCAGCGCCGAGCTGTCTGGCTGCGGTGGGCACCGACTCCGCAAAGGGCGCGGCTCTTTGTGCTCCATTTCCCACAGGCCTGGGCAGGTGCGGTGACCCCACGAGGCTCTTAGGCGCCCCGCTGTTCCACCAGGATCATTCAAGCTCCGGATTTAGAGAGATGCTGCAGAGAGCCGCGCGGCAGCCGTAGCACCGCGCCGACCGCGGGTCCTAAACTCTGCTGTTCCCTGCTGTGCATTTAACAAAAGCAGACACCACGAACCCGGGTACGAGCCCCTTCCTTCCCTCGCTACGCAAGGGAGTGGGCGGAGACTCCAGGGTGAGGTTCCTCTAGGGAGACTTTGCGCCTGCGTGGCTCCGCCCAAGCCCCGCCTCCTCTCCGCCGCCCCGCCCTGCCATCCCGCGCTCCACCGCTAGGGGTGGCGGCTGCGGCTCCGGTCTGATTGACGGCGCGGTAGCTTTGAGGGCGCAGCAGCCCTACCGAGCAGGGACTGCGGGAGGCCGGAGGGTGGGAAAGCGGCCGGCGGCGGAGGGCGGCGCCGAAGGAGGGCGGCGCGCGGTGACTCATCCCTCTGGAAGATCAGACACGCTCGCTGAGCCCGCCCGCCCGCGCCGCCGCTCCTCAACCGGGAGGCGCCCGCCCGCTCGCACCGCCCTCCCCGCTCCGAGCTCCCGGCCCGGCTGCCGCACAGAAAGTTTTTCCGGGCTCAGGGCCTGCGGGAAGCGGGGCTGGCACGGCAGGGGAGGCGATCGCCGTGCGGGCCCTCCGAGTGCATGGTGCCCGGTGCCCGGGCCGTGCGTCTGGAGGAGCCGGGGCGGGGCGGGGCTGAGCCCAGCTCCTGAGCCTCTGTCCAGCTGCGTCCGAAGCCAGGGACTGTCGCGGGGGTCGCGCTCCAACGCCATGTCCCGGCTGCTGCCGCTGCTGGGGAGCCGGACGGTGCGCAGCCTGAGGCCGGGCCCTGCCGCCGCGCCCCGCCCGCCGTCCTGGTGCGGCTGTGGCCGGGGACTGCTGGCGCTCGGGGTCCCCGGCGGTCCCCGGCTCCTGGGCACCCACCCCAAGAAGGAGCCCATGGAGGCGCTGAACACTGCGCAAGGCGCGCGCGATTTCATCTACAGTCTGCACTCCACCGAGAGGAGCTGCTTGCTCAAAGAGCTGCACCGCTTCGAGTCCATTGCCATCGCCCAAGGTAAGCGGGTGGGGCCGCCTGGGAAGACCTCGTTCTTGGACCCCTGTCACCTCCCCACCCGCTGACCCCGCGCCTGGGACCGACCGAAAGGGGAAACTTTCCACCTCCTAAGTGTCCCCGAGGCAGGTAGGACACGCACACGCACGGGTCGTGCCTGGCAGCTGGGGCCAAGCCTGGCTGGGGCCTCGCTAGCCATGGAATTCAGGAGCTTCAGCCTGAAATGCCTGCTGACTCTTGGGATTGTGTTTTGGTTTGTCCCGTGTGCCTCCTCTCTCCGGCCCTCCATTCCCTAAGCCTTTGGTGTCTTCCTGAAACATGCACCCATGCAGGTGGCATGCCCTGCCTGCTCTAAGAAAGGGCTACGAACTGAGCAGGCAAGAAGAAACTTTCTTGAAGGTGCGTGGATGTCCCCCTCAAAAGGGGTGTAACTTCCCGAGTCAGGGATGCTCTAGGGTGTGCGTTGTTGCATCTGGTTGTGGACCGGCCCAAGGAAATCTTTTCGCGGAATGGAAAGAATGTATCGAGCCAGTCACTATGTGTGTCCTGGAAGCCTGGAGATTCGAATTGAACTCCAGTTTTTGTTTCCTTCGAGTTGGAAAGAATAAGGGAGTTCTGGGGTGGCTGAAGTTAGGGAATCTGTGGCTTGACAATGAAGAGCACGCGTCTACTTAAAAATAATTGGGAAAGGATGAAGGGACAGCTATTTTTAAACAGACACGTTAAGATAGGATATTTTTAAGACGAGCGCGGAATGTGGTAGGTCAGATTTGAGTGTAGGTGAAAAGGCCAAAAGTTCAGAAAAAGACTCAAAAGGATGCAAAGATAAAAATGGATTAAGTCTTAAAATATATTTTTTGCTACATAAAATTCTGTTGTATACACAGAACACACTACTGTTTTATATCACGCTCGAATGTGTCGGAAAGTTTTTAGATAGTTGAAGTTGGCACTGTATAATGTATAAACATTCCATACATTCTGAAGTGTGGAGCGCATGTATTTGGAATGTGTCTTTCAGGCCCCTTAAAAGTTTGTCCATTGGCCTGTGCCTGAGAGGAAAGTGAGTTTTACCTCGTATTAACATACCTTACCTTTATTAATTAAGAAACTTTTTTTTTTATTAGTTATACCCTTTAACTACTTTAGTTTTTTTTTCTCAGTTTAGGGGATTGTGAACTAATATAAAGTAGTGGATAATTTCAAACATTGCTTACCCACAATGCTTTTTACAGGAAAATGCAGCATCCCAATCACTTCAGTCGGCGAATCACAGTATTACAGGAAGTCATACTGAATACGAGCACATTTTTAGTCTGTGTGTGTTCTCTGTGTGTGGCTTAAAAATATGTTCTCTGAAAAGCAATATAGATCGTCTTGTCTTAGAAGGTCAAATTTTGTCGCTCAGGCAAGACTATGTCAACGTCCAGTTTCCCTTTTCCAAAGCAAGACCTTGGAAGTTCTACGTCGTCAACATGTTATGTTATGAGCGAGGACGCTGTGACTATAATTTTATAGTCGTTATTGAAAAGCGTGTTCCACAATACCTGACCTGCTCAGTTTTATCTCACACGTTACTATTTTTGCACACGCTGGCAGTGCATCAGGTAGGAGTGCCACATTTTCCAACGAAGGCAGTACTTTTAAATCTAAGATGGTTTTAGATATCCTTGGAAGAACCTAGAAACTCAAGTCCATGGAGGTCATTAGCATCAGTAAAGCCTAACGACCTAAGTTATTTGAGGATGCCATTGGTAATGTAAACGTGTTTGTTCAGGAGAAAAGGGTGAATATCTAGGAAAGGATGTGGTGGGTGAATGCTCCCTGTTTATAGGCCAGAGGACTTTGGCGTTTGCCCAGCTGTTTCTGTTGATGCTCCTGACTAAATCATTGCCTTTTGAGTTAAGTGACACTTAGAGGTGCTGCTGCATTAATTTTTTAGCCCGCCTCGGTGCTCACTTACAGTTTCCATCACCAGTACATGTAGTTATGAGGACAGCTGGACTTACTTAGTAAGTTACTTTTGATCAATCACGAGGGGTCTTACTGCATTGGGAATGTGTGCAGCTCATGTATGCTATTGCTGAAATCGATGTAGCTTCCCCCCCAAAAGAAAACCTCTCATGTTTTTCTTTGCTTTCCCAGCGTTTCTTCTTAATTTTTAATTATATTTTAATCTCTTATTTTTGTATGTGAGTGTGCCTCTTCATGCTTTTGGAGGCCAGAGGACAATGTAGTGGGAGTCATCCCGTCTTTCCTCCCAATGATATCACACCCAACCCTTTGGCTGGGCAGCAAGCGCCTAGTGAGCCCTCTCACCCGTCTTCATGATGTTTTAAAATGCTATCTAGTGTACTAATGTATTAAAATATGAGTACTAGCTGTCCTTTCTAATGACAGCCAATCACTTGAAAGGGCTGTTTCTTACTATAGAAAGCCTGTGTGCCCTTGGGAAGATGCTTAGATCATCCAAGGAAGTGTTCTGACTTTGATGAAACATTACAGAAAGAAAAAAAAATCATCTTTCTTTGAGATGGGTCGTGAGATCTGCTGAAATTTGGCACTTGGTCCATATCTTTCTTGTGTGCCACAGCAGGCCTGTGGTAGGATTTGTGAGAAGATAGCAGCTCTCCAGAATTAGTTCACAGCCGTGAGGCCGACTTTGCGGGGTTGCTTATCTTAGTGAGTTGGGTTGTATTGATTTTAAAATTACAAGCCGATTTCTTTCCCAATTTGAAGAAGTTTATGTCGCACTCTGACCTGCACACTGGCTCTCTCTCCCAGAAGCGGGCTGCATTCCGCTGATGGCTCTTTGGTAGGACTAAAGACAAGCCGAAGTTGTTACAGTTGCCTTTTAGAAGCTGAAGTTGTTACAGTTGCCGTTTACATTCCCTTTACAAGCCGAAGTTGTTACAGTTGCCTTTTAGCTTTAGCCAAGTTTTTATTTTTATTTTTATTTTTGAGACAGGGTTTCTCCGTAGCTTTTTTGGTTTCTGTCCTGGAACTAGCTCTTCTAGACCAGGCTGGCCTCGAACTCACAGAGATCCGCCTGCCTCTGCCCCCCAAGTGCTGGGATTAAAGGCATGCGCCACCATCGCCGGGCTTTTTAAGCCAAGATTTTAAAACAGTCTTTCTTCTTCCTCATTTTTGTTTATAACATTTCTGTTTACATTTTTTTTTTTGGTTTTGAACCAAGGTAACAGTCACTGTATTAGTTGTTACCTGATACAGGAAAACAAATTATGCAGAAACACAGAGCAAGTCTCTCACACTTTCCTTCACAGTTCTGGATTCCTGGAGCCACTGACTTGGGTTTTCCTTATTCTTAGTGTTTCATGATATGGAAATCAAGCTTTTGGCTTTTTGAGATCTTGGCTGGGGCATTCCCTCCCAGCAGGACTCACATGGCTATTGGCTGGCATTGTCGGTTCTTTGTAACATGGACCTTTCTACAGGGTTGGTAGCTTTCAAGGTAGAATTCCTGGAGAGGTGGGTGATAGAGGAGGCAAGATGGGTGCTCAGGGAAGGAAGGATGTCTGGAAGCCAGTCTTTTATAGTGCAGTCTTAGGAGTAACAGCTCTTGTGTGCTGTGGTACCTTGTAGGAGGGTCCTCTACAGGATGTGAATATTGCATCAGTGATTGGGAGCCAATGAGGTCATGCTGGAGGCTGATTGCCATACTTACTGAGGTTTAATGGGCAGTTACTGGAGAGTTACGTAAGACAAGAGCTGGCTTTGGGAGAGATACCATAAGAGACGAGATTTGAAAAAAGCTTCTTAGGGAATATTATTGTTAAATGTATTCAAAACTTTAAAAAAGATTTATTTTATATGGCAAATAAGCTATACCAAGGTGACACTTACCTGGCTGAGGGGATACCATAATCAAGTAGGTGGTTTTCCTAGGATGTGCTCACCCCTGCGGTTTCCCCAAATGGGGCAAACTTGACTGTATATTTTGTGGTAGGGAGGGACTGTGTTCATGTTTTACTCTGAAAAGAAAAAAATATTTCAAGGTGAATAGTGCAGTTTTTCTGACAACAGGAGACGCATTTGCTTACAATTTTGCTTCTTTGTGTAAACAGTAATTGTGTACTTTTAAAGTTTATTTTTACCACTTACGTACTCCACTCCATGTTATCTAGATAATTCTAAACTGTATGTCTTCACTCCTCCCCTTTTGTGATTGTTTATTTAAGGTAGGCCAAGCCTCTGTTTGAAGTGCTGGCAAGTAACCTAAAGGGCCTTTGACACAGTAAAAGTCTGGCTTCTCTTGGGCTGGACTTCTAGTGTCCTTAGACGCGATCAAGTTTTGTCGTGGAGATTGTTCTTCTAGGAGTCTTGTGCCTTTAAAAACTCCCTATTCTCCAGAGTCTGTTCTTCAGGATCATATGAGAAAGAAGCAGTTGTGCCAACATCCTAGCCTCTGGGATAGATTAGAATGGTCTCAGCTTTTGCTCCAAGAGAAAAAAAAAGCACTTCCTATGCCAATTAAGACACAGGAATAAAGACTTTTCAGTGCCTTGATTGAGATAATAAAAGAGAAATGCAGGAGGGGTAGCCCCAACTGGACTCAGCAAGAGGGCAGGAGTGGCTAACCAGAGGATCCAAAAAGGGTTTACTCACAGGGGGCTGGGCCAATTAGAACTGCTGATTCAGGCAGAGACAGGTTTCCTCAATCACGTGAGTGGCATATTCAGAATGGCTGCAGCATTTAGGTAATAGGTTAGAGCTCCTAGAGGAAATGTTCAAGATGGATAAGAGAAGCTGTAAAACTTTGTGTCAGTTTTCATTGCTGCTGTGCCAAGTTAGTACCCATTCCTGCTAAAAACAACACACTGTTACTCTTCTAGAGTTTTGGCAACTCAGTATCCAAAGTGAGTCTTGAAGGGTGTTTGTCAGCAAGATCCAGTCCTTCTGGAGTCTCCGGGGAGAATCTCTTCCTTTTTTCTTCCAGCTTTTAGCATTCCTTGGCTCTTGGCCCCATCTCTTGATCTCTGCTT